CAGCCGCAGGTTTCGCAGCCCCCCGAGGAGCCTGCAGAGCCCTCAGGGTGCCCGCGGCCCCTGCACACCCTGAGCTCCAGGGTGCTGGGGGTGCAGGGAAGCCCATCTCAGGCATGGGCAGCATTTGGCCCTCTCTGAGACACACTGCACTCGGGAACATGTACTTGCATGTGCCACACAGGCAGGGAGGACACACAGCACTTTGAAACGTGGCAGCAGCAAAACCCGTTCATTACCTAGCAGGTTTCACTCCCGTTGGTCTGAGTTTTCCTCGCTCTGTGGATCCATCTTGCTCCACTCGTGCTGCCTGTAAATCAATTTACATTGGAGGAGCCCCTGATCTGCACCACCGTGAGCATGGGCAGAATCAGGGACACAACAAAAGGAAACAAACTGAGCTCTTCTGGAGCTCAGCCCCAGCCCTGCACAGGAACAAAAACTTACCAGACAGGCATTTTTCAGAGCTCTGAGAAGCAAAGGGTTTCTGCTCCAGATAAATGTGCCTTATCTCTTGCAAGCATGAATGGGGGGGGGGGGGGGAAAGTAGAACCTATAAGCTCCAGGGGCAGTGGGAGGCTGGGGACATTCACTGCTGAAATAATGCCTTGTCCTGACTGTGCTGGCAGGAAAAAGCATCATCTGCATGTTAAGGGATGAAGGATTTCCATTTATCTGAAATGGCCCCGGTTGCTTCTTGAAGTATTTTAAGATTTAAAAATAAAAACAAATTTGCAGTTTAAAATTGAGGCCTGGGACGTCTTCTTTCCTGCTCACTGCATAAAGCTCCAAATGTGCCATATGCAAAATTATTTGGGAGCAGCAGAAATGTCGGGAGCTGCTGCCCAGGTGAGACCTGGGGAGGGTGCTGGTCTGTGATACCCTGTGTCCAAGGGTGCTGGCTGTGCAAGGTCAGGTGGAAGGCAGCTCCACTCTGGGCAGTGCAGGATTGATCCCATCAGGATCAATGTCTGTCTGCTGTGGGGCTGAGCTCTGGGTTCTGTCTGCAGCACCAGGACCCACTGGCTGCAGTGAGTTTCCTCTCTGCCCCTGTGCTCACCTCCCCATGTTTGCAGGGTTCATGTTTGGCTCTGGAGCCCTCGGCACTGCCCCTGAGCACCCCCAGTGCCAGCAGCTTTGGGGGCTTCACCCTTTGTCCCTGCTTTGCTGATGGGTCTGTCCCTTTGCCCCAGCTATGACCGAGGGGCCACGGTGGCCGGCGTGGTGGGCGTCGGGCGGCTGATCACGGGCATGGACCGGGGGCTGCAGGGCATGTGCGTGAACGAGCGGCGGCACCTCATCGTGCCCCCCCACCTGGGCTACGGCAGCATCGGTGTGGGTAAGGGGCTGTGGCACGGAGGGGGGGAAGGAGGGAGCGACCCCCTGGGGCTGGCGACAGGCCCGGTGCCCAGCTGGAACCTGTTGCTCTGCTGCCAGGGCAAGTGGTGCCTAAGCAGGGCTTCCCTGGAGAGCAGAGGTCCTGCTCCCCACCCCCCGGCTCTGCTGCTTTCCCAGGGGCTGGCACGTGTGGCCAGCAGCCCCAGGCAGCTGTGGGCTCGGGAGGGCTTTAGGGGACAGAGACCTTGGCTCACCTGGGCTCGGTGCAGGTCCCACCTAAGGTGCTCTGTCCTGGCTGCTGCCCCCTTAGCGGGGCTGATTCCCCCAGATGCCACTTTGTACTTTGACGTCGTCATGCTGGACATCTGGAATAAGAAGGACAAGCTGCAGATCACCACCCTCTCCAGACCCAAGCACTGCAACCGCACGGTGGAGAACTCGGACTTTGTGCGGTACCACTACAATGGCACCCTGCTGGATGGCACCCCCTTTGACTCCAGGTACCAGGCACCCATGCTGGGATGCACCTGAGGGGCAGGAACCAGGGGACACAGGCCCAGGGCAGGACATGGGGGCTCACACTGCACCTCAGCCCGAGCAGCCTCCTTCCATGCTCTTCCTCCCTGCATGGCTGGTGCAGCTCTGTGACCCCCAAACCAAACCCCTGCCCAGTACCCCAGCCCATGGAGCTGCCATGGCCCCTGATCTGATGCCCCCCCCCCCCATTCCTCCCCACCAGCTACAGCAAAGACAGCACCTATGACACCTACGTGGGCACCGGGTGGCTGATCAAGGGCATGGACCAGGGGCTGCTGGGCATGTGTGCCGGGGAGAAGAGGAGCATCATCATCCCCCCGTTCCTCGCCTATGGGGAGAAGGGTTACGGTGAGTTGGGCATCACTCCCAGCCCTGACCAGAGCCTCCCCAGTGCATCAGGGCCCTTGTCTGGGCTGACTCATGTCCTCTCCCCAGGGACTGTGATCCCACCGCAGGCATCGCTGGTGTTCAGTGTGCTGCTGGTGGACTTCCACAACCCCAAGGATGGTGTCTTCCTGGAGCACCTGGAGGTGCCAGAGTCCTGCCAGCGCAGGGCTGTGACCGGGGACTTTGTGCGCTACCACT